GACTATTTGGGCCTGTGCCGAAGACTTGGTGTTGACGACATTCCCATCTTCCCCTCCTCTTCGTCTAACCCCCTTCTTCTTCATCTGTGTATGGTAGGGGCTGGCGCAGTCTTCCTGTGTGAAGCGCCAGACCCCATTCACACCATGTAACGATGATGATGATGTATGTTCAGGGCTGCATTGCAATATTGATTGTTCGGATCACTGGTATCTAAGTCTTCCGCTACGCCATCTTGTACTTTGTATTGAGAGGTCGGTTCTTGTTCTGGTCTGCACCGTTACAGTATGCAACAGCTACGCTGCAGCAAAGGGCGATGAAAAATCATTTTACAAAACACCCCAGCCATCAAGTGGATCACATCTTCGCAATGTGCCCCTACTAAAAATTAATAAAAATACAATTGGAGGGTTCAAGTATCCAGTGGCCACAGCTGGGACTCAATGCCGCAATATCAACACAGGTATGTGCTCGACTCGCCCTCCCTCGATGCCTGGCCTCTCTCTCTCTCTCTCTCTCTCTCTCTCTCTCTCTCTCTCTCTCTCTCTCTCTCTCTCTCTCTCTCTCTCTCTCTCTCTCTCTAGCATGCGCGCGCGCACGCTCGCTCAAGTCTTGTGTCATTCAACCTCTCTGCGCTCAAGCTCTCTCTCTTGCTTCCTAGGATCTACCTTGCGGCTGTGGCCACCGTCCTCCTCCTCCAAACCCTAACTATGGCTGACTTCTTCCTCCCAGCGCTTGCTACAAAAGCAACCAGCAGCGCTTCCGCAAGTTCGCGAGTGAACAGTATGTTGGCTTTGGCACTTCAGCAGCTATTAATAGCGGCAGTTGACTGTATGTGCCTGCTTCCAACCGGTACCAGTCGCCCGCAGCCTCTGCTTGTCAAATTTGGTGTTCCGGAAGTCTCTGGACTTTCTTGGGACGCTGCCGCAAAATTTGACTTCGGGACTGGACTTCCTCTACCGGTACCTACGGACTTTCACCTACCTGTGACAGCTCGGTACTGTTTGATTCTCCCCTGGTCCTCCCATTCTTCTTTTCATCATTTGCCTCCCCAACCACGAGCGCTCTCCTTAGCGGACCTTCAGAGATTAGTTCTCCAAAGGCTCCTCTTGTGCATTGTCTGTCTTCTACTGTGAGCAGTGCCAGGGATCTGTGGTTTGCAATTTCCCAGTTTTTGTGTTTCTCATTCCATCTGCATGACAGTACAATTCTATGCTTCCCTGCATTCATGGCTTCCAACTTGGCCGCGGCTTCGATTTCTTTCAGCTTTTCCTCTACAATCTTCTGCAGATTGATGCTTTGCTCGTTTAATTCTCCGTTCTGGTCCTCGGGCACGTTCACCTGAGCCTCTAAGATGGCCGCCTGTCTGCGCAGATCTTCCTTTGCGTCCTCCTCCTTCTCCTCTTCCGGCTGGGACTGCTCTTCCTCGCTGTCTCCCTCGTTTGGCGGACTGAGCTCTCCTCTTCCACCTCCTCTTGGTGGAGTCCTTCGCTTCATATCTTGCTGGCCATTCGAACTGCTTGTGGTACCTTTCCTCCTACTCGCGTACGTCGTTTTTGATAGCTTGTGCCTTCCACCCATATCGAACTGCATAGAATTCATTCACCTCTTGGTCCTGTTGCATCATTTCAAAGCTGTTCTCCACCGGGAATGTCATCCGCTGCAGTTGTGGCCTGTTGCATTAGGAGCTTGTGATGCGCCAGCCTGATTTCACATTGTATCTTCCTCTCCTATTCCAGGTAGCGCATACACTGTTCCCATTTTTCCATAGAATCCCATTCCAGCTCCTCCTCCTCGTCCTCGCATCCATCGTCCCCTTCCTCCTCTCCCTTTGATTGTTCTCCTTGTGACGCTTGTGCGCTCGTATCTTCCTCCATTGACTCTGTGTCACCTTGGGTGTCGCCCTGCTGGCTGATGTCCTGCTTTCCTCCCCCTCCTGTGGTGTCCATGGACTCTTCCTTTTCACTCACAGCTCCTTCTCCCCTCACGTCCCTTCTACCCTGTACTTGTGAACCTTTCTGAGACTGTCTTGATTGCGCTTCTCCCATGTCTTCCCTGTCTGTTCTTTGACTTGACTGGGCCCTTTTACTTCCGTGGTCCTCTGATTCCGACCCCTCCCTTGTTGCTTTTCTCCTAAGTGAGGCTGCCCCGCCTGTACTTCCTTCCAAATTTTCACAATCCATATTTTCACAATCCATACTCTCCCTTTGATCCTTTAGCTGACTCCCTTCACTTGTTTCTTCCAGTGCAAGTATGCTTTGTCCACCGTCTGACCAACTTTGCGCAGCTCCTCCATTGTGAGTAACCTTTGCTTGTCATCCGGAATCAGTTTCTCATCCACGATTGATTTAATTAGGAAGCCTGTGTCCTTTTCCTCCATCCTCTTTGCTCCCACCTCTCGCCATCTGCTGTCCTAGTGTGGGTAGACGTCAGATTTTACTGTTGGTGTTCCCTTTAGTACCCACACCCCCTGGGATTCTCCAGATTGTCATCAAATATCCACCCTCGGTACTGCGCTGGCAGGATGTATGTACAAGACCACTGGCTTATTATCGCTTTCCACTAACATTGACTGTTTTAGAGTCTGTTTTTTGCTGTTGTCGCTTGTTTGTGGGCAGTTTGTCCGTAGATGGCCCCTTCCTCTTCCTCTTCCCTTATAAATGGCATGACAAATTGTCTGAAAATTTAGGCCTCCGTTAACCTGCTCTCCTTCTCTGCATTTGAGATAGAACGGGTTTGTCTTTGTGGAAACAAAGCTGGTCAATCATTGGCCATTCTTCCTGAATACCTAAGCTTCCGGGAATTTCGGTGGAGCTCTAGACTTGACCTCTGGGCATGCCACTCTGGAGTCATGATTGGGTCCCAGGAAATTGGGGTTTGAGGGCAACCAGTCGATAATGGGGTAATTCGGATATTCCTTTGTTAGTCTCCTTTGCATGAAGCTGTACATTACTTCCAATAAGTTGTCGAACTGGACCCAGAAGTGGTTCCTCAACATTGTCTGGCGATGTCGAGACGCTTCAGCTTGTGGCGGTCGAGGTGGTTTCCATGCTTGAAAGGTTACCACCACCCCATTGCATTTGAGTGAACCCAGTGACAGTAGGAACGGCGCGTATGCCAGGCCCACACGAAGGATCATGACTGCAAATTCTGGGGTGCGTCAGTCCGGTTCCTATTCCACCGGCAAGTCAGAGAAGAGTACAAGATATACACGCTCACGCTCCTCCCCCTTGTGGTGTGGAGGCCCGAAGGACGGCATTGATTACTTCCCTAGGGGTAGAGTCATTCGATTTTGATCATCCTATCGATGGAAGTACTCTCTCTCTCTCTCTCTCTCTCTCTCTCTCTCTCTCTCTCTCTCTCTCTCTCTCTCTCTCT